TTTATTTTTCGATTTTTTTCAAATTTTCTGCCCATTTCCCAACCCTTATATTTTTTGGAAAGGATAAATCGATAGTTCTGAAAGTCCTGGAACATAAAGCTATATAGTCAGACCGCTGGATAAAGCAATTTCAAAAACGATCCGGAAACCGGAAGTAGTCGAAATAATGATAGATATTTCGAAAAAAAAGCAAAAAATGGGTGTTTTGGGGAAATGCTACTCAAAACATCTTTGTTTATGGATTATCGATTATTATCGATTATGGATTAATTATGCAATATCGATGCAGGTTCAATCACGAAACTTGCGTTTACAGCATCTAGTATATCTTTCGAGCTGCTGATATCTATACGCTTATAGATTGCAGTTACACAGAGTACATGTACAAGTGTATATGCAGTAGAAAATCGGGAAGTTGAACGAACAAAGGAATGGAATCATTCAAAAGTGTACTCAAAATAAGTAAATTATAACTGGGTGAAGGCTAGAATTAACACACGTGTGGCCATTGTATAAATATATGACATGCGCATGTATTGTACACGTCTGTGTGTGAAATGGCTTTATTTAATATCCGCTTCCACCGAAATGAAATAAGCGGCACACAGTAGATGTATATTGTCACAGTGGATATTTGTCGTAAGAATATCCCTTGGTTGAATGCATGTAAATGTACAGTATTGTATGGATACGGAATTTGTAATATAACAAATACATGGCGCTGTCACTTTTGTGACTTTCGCAGTGTACCCCCTCCCACCCATATTATTTTAATACATCATAATACATTATTATCATATACCAGTGACAGTCAAGACTTGCTAAACACTTTTCACCAAGTAACACAGCGTAAGAATATATAGTCCGCGTGTCAAACCCAACATCTCATGTTTTCGCGTTTCTGACCACGTGACTTACGGTTAACCGCATTGCGGAGTGATTTACATGTATGGCACTTTGATTTATGGATGGTTGATTTAGATTAACTGAAGCTGCAAGTAATGAAGTATTGTGTAAAATCTCATCGAATATAATTTAAAGTTTGGATTTGATAGCAGCCAATAAGATGAAATGATACGTTTAAAAAATTGTAAGTTATTCATTGTTTGCATACACGTACATTGTGGCACCACGTTATACATGTACAGTGTGTTAGAAATAAAACATACAACCGTAGCTGTCTCGCCAACGGTTAACATATCTTGTATTCAACTTAAATAAATTACATTTTTCGTCAACATGCTTTCATCGGGATGATATCAGCACTCAAGCGATTCACCATGTTTCACCGCGAAACACCATAATTCACTGCGAAACACCCTATTTCGCGGTGATTTGGCTAGCTGCCGTTTCACTAGCGATTCTCCAAGATTCCAACGTGAAATAGAGTGTTTTTCCACGGTGTTCGGCGATTCTAGTCCCAAACTCCTGCACTGTAGTGTATAACCCAAAGATCATGGTTCCTTTCGATATTCATGCATATCGGATCATAACTTTCTGAATTATGGCCCCTCATTGTACGAAAAATCGCGTTTTTAGCTTGTGGTCCCCCTAGAGGTCACCATTTTTATCCGATTTAAACCAACGTTTTAGTATATCACCGTTACATCCTGATTATGGTCCCTGATTGGTCGGAAAAAACGTTTAGCCTCTGGTTGATAATTTGGCGTCTGATGGTCACATTGAAATGTGTTCGTATATTGTTGTCACCCCCGTCCGTCCGGCGTCCACAATTGCTTGTGGACGCTCTAGAGGCTAAAGTTAATATCCGATTGACTTTAAATTTATACACAGTGTTTAAGGTCATGAGACGAAGAATCCTATTGATTTTCAGCGATTTCCGATAATTACTGCCAGAGTTATGGCCCTTGATCACTTCAAAAAATCTTGTGGACGCTCTCGAGGCTAAAGTTAATAACCGATTGACTTTAAATTTATAGACAGTGTCTAACTCTTAAACGACCCAGAGGTTTGACGTCATAACGTCATAAAAACCCACGTCATAATGGTCAATGGTATTAAAATATATATATGCATTTTAAAGTCATATCATTAATAAACAACTGTAGATAGACCCTTAATTTAAATGGATGAAATAATCTAAATTTAATGCCATTTTCATAAATATAAATTTATACAAAAAATTAATTTAGACATTTCATGCAAAATCCATGTATATAATGGTTATTTCTATTTTTTTTTTTTTTGTTCGGCTGTTGTGAACTAAAAATTATTCATCATGAATCTCTTTTAATTTAAGCTTATTTAAGTACCGTAATAGAAGTTTGTTGATTAACTAAGCCTACTTCTATCACGTTCTAGGCCTAACGCAAAACTTATGGCCCTTGATCACTTCAAAAAATCTTGTGGACGCTCTAGAGGTTAATATCCGATTTACTTTAAATTTATACACAGTGTTTAAGGTCATGAGACGAAGAAGCCTATTGATTTTCAGCGATTTCAGATAATTACTGCCAGAGTTATGGTCCTTGATCACTTTCAAAAATCTTGTGGACGCTCTAGAAGCCAAAGTTAATATCCGATTGACTTTAAATTTATACACAGTGTTTAATGTCATGAGACGAAGAAGTCTATTGATTTTTAGCGATTTCCGATAATTACTGCCAGAGTTATGGCCCTTGATCCCTTTGAACAATCTTGTGGATGCTCTAGAGGCTAAAGTTAATATCCGATTGACTTTAAATTTATACACAGTGTTTAATGTCATGAGATGAAGAAGCCTATTGATTTTCAGCGATTTCCAATAATTACTGCCAGAGTTATGGCCCTTGATCACTTCAAAAAATCTCGTGGACGCTCTAGAGGCTAAAGTTAATATCCGATTTACTTTAAATACACAGTGTTTAAGGTCATAAGACGAAGAAGCTTATTAATTTTCAGCGATTTCAGATAATTACTGCCAGAGTTATGGTCCTTGATCACTTTCAAAAATCTTGTGGACGCTCTAGAAGCCAAAGTTAATATCCGATTGACTTTAAATTTATACACAGTGTTTAATGTCATGAGACGAACAAGTATATTGATTTTCAATGAATTTTTATGACTTGAACAACTAAATCCATGATGTTAAAAGTTTTGTATACTAAACATTAGCATGGGGCAGAACTTTATAAAAACCAAACAAATTCTAATGGTTTTCTGATAATTACTTTTATCAGATTTTAATGTATTATAAATGTTTAATTACCGAAAAAAGTAAAAATATGTGACAACTCTTGTTGACTCCCCGGACGATTTAGCTGCTGTGGGCGTATGTTTCGTTGCCTGGCAACCTATCTTTATTATATGCCCACATTGAAATGTGGTCGTATATTGTTGTCGCCCCCGTCCGTCCGGCGTCCACAAGCAAATGTGGACACTCTATAGGCTAAAGTTAAAATCCGATTGACTTTAAATTTATACAGTGTTTAAGGTCATGAGACGAAGAAGCCTATTGATTTTCAGCGATTTTCGATAATTACTGACAGGGTTATAGCCCTTGATCACTTCAAAAAATCTTGTGGACGCTCTAGAGATCAAAGTTAATATCCGATTGACTTTAAACAGTCCTTCATGTTTATAAAATTGTACTAGATCCATAAAAAGCTCCTGATACCTTGAATATATGCAGTTTAAAAGTAAACAAAAACTGAAAGTAGTTTATTAATCTCAATATTTAGGAGAGCGATTTAGCTAATTTGCAGGAGTCTTTAACCACTCCTTCGAAGGAAAGCCAACGTGCGTCGAGAGGAGCAGGAGCAAAAGCTCCCCTTAAACGTGAAGGACTGCTTTATATTTATACACAGTGTTTATGTTCATGAGACAAAGAAGCCTATTGGTTTTCAACGATTTTCGATAATTACTGCCAGAGTTATGGACCTTGTTCACTTTGAAAAATCTTGTGGATGCTGTAGAGGCTAAAGTGAATATCCGATTGACTTTAAATTTATACTCAGTATTTAAGGTCATGAGACGAAGAATCCTATTGGTTTTCAACGATTTCCGATAATTATTGCCAGAGTTATGGCCCTTGATCACTTTGAAAAATCTTGTGGAAGCTCTAGAGGCAAAAGTTAATATCCGATTGACTTCATATTGATACAGAATTTAAGGTCGTGAGACGAACAAGTATATTGATTTTCAATGAATCTTTATGACTTGAACAGCTAAATCCATGATGTTAAAAGTTTTGTATACTAAACGTTAGCATGGGACAGAACTTTATAAAAACCAAACAAATTCTAATGGTTTTCTGATAATTACTTAATGAGTTGTTTCTCTTAATCAGATTTTAATGTATTATAAATGTTTCATTACCGACAAAAGTAAAAATATGCGACAACTCTTGTTGACTGCCTGGACGATATAGCTGCTGTGGGTGTATGTTTCTTTGCCTGGCAACCTATCTTTTTTTCTATTTGTTTGCTTGCTTCATTTCCTGTCAAAATCGTATACATCTGATTATTACATCAGTAAAACTAAAATTTAGTACTATACATTTCGTATGTCATATGTTGTGTTGACACTCAGTTTCTATGTTTTAGAAAAGTGACCTCCAGTTACCCCCCCAGATATACGCCAAAATGATGCTAGAGACCTATCTTTCCCAAATGTTCGATCCCAGGCGGAGTTCCTTGTACCAGTGCTCGGTGGTATATGTCGCGGGCCCTGGATAATTGGGGCCTAGTCTGGGTCTGTCTATTGAATGCTACACTGATCGTTTCTCAAAATTCTCCTTGAATATAGTGTTGAATTATTATAAATTTGTCAGATATGACAAGAAATGATTGCTTTTGGCGAAAAATAAACTATTGTGGTGAAAAATGGACGATAAGGATTCCAAAATGCTGAGGTGGATTAAATCCTTATTTTCATATTTCAGCTATATAGGAACGTTCAGCGGACAGACGTCTGATCAGAGACTATTCCTAAAGGAACTCCTCCTTGGTATGAAGACCATATGCCATATAATTTATACATTTGTATGTTTTTTTTTTTAGGCCAAGCTTGAAGGTTTGAAACAAAAACTCGCTCATGGTGATCGTTTGGAGCCTCCACAGAGGGTAAATACAATCAGTTACACAAATAACTTTCTAAGTCTTAATTAGCATCAGGGCTCGACATTAACTTTTTAAGCAGCTTGACCTTTGGGCTAGTCTTTCAAAAATTTTACTTGCCCGAAGGTGCAAATTGGATAAATTTTGCTTTGTGTTAGGGTGACCCACCATAAATAAATATCTCCATATATCTCGACAATTACGCCACAATATTTATATATATGCCAAGCCTCAAATCAGTTTCACACAATTATAGTCACTAAATAAACGATCATGTTGTACTTAATAAGCTATGACCATTAATCATGTATAAATAATAGACTGAAAACTGGTTCCAAGAGTCGTCCATAACATCCAGACACTTTTGAGTAAAAGATAGGTTACGTGCCCTTGTTTTGAAATTAGTCTCGCTTAACCAGTCTATCGACCATTCTACGTCTGATTGACAGGTCGGGATAATCAAGACTACTTTTTTACGAAACGTAACAGAAAGCTAGAACAAGAAATTGAATTTAGAAATAAGCACGTTAGGTAGCTCAACAATCGTTTTAAGAAGCTTGTAAAAGTAAAATGAAACTACTGCTAGTATCATATTCCTGCCTAACCCGAGTGATTCAGATATATTATTTATACTAAACCAAAAGATGCCGCTCTTAACGGTACAGTTAATGATAAAGCGATTTAAAAAATGAAACGAACGTAATTTCTAAATCTGCTGTAATAACCAAGAAGCTTAATTTAACTGCTATCCAAAATCGTCAACAATAAATTTTTTACGGCTGTAATAGTTGATAGATTTGTAGAGAATTGCACGTGCCATGGCTATTTATAGTATCATACTGTCAGAAAGTTGGTCTCGGCACGGCGAATGTGCACGCTTCAGTGGTAGTCTCGAACTATCAGCGGTGGACTGTATTTCTGTGAGTACATGGGCCACCCTATTTGTGTGCTAAATAGATTATTGCAGGCCTTGGTTTTTTTTTTAGGAGCGCTCTAAATTTCGTGTCAGGAGCGTTCATATTCACGCTCCTTTCGAATCTGAGAGCCATCAAAAAACAATGAACTCATTGAATTGAATTTCCGTGGTTTGTTGTCGACGAAAACGAGTGAACACTAGTTTGAAGACGGTCGATCACATTGCGTCATTTAGTGACATTATGTTGATATAAGCGGCTCATACATTCGGAATTCTTCGCTGGACGCAGACTGAATAACTGGGCCGCTTATATCAATATCACGTAATATGACAGATCTACGACTGATCTTCAATACTACTACTAGCGTTATCTCATCTAACCTTGCCAACAGGGATCGCCACAGCAAAATGGCTGAAATTTAGCAGACAAATTCTTATTTTTATTCTGTAAATCTTGTTTCAATGAATGATAATTATATCCTCTTCTTGAGGAAAATACCGTGACAACTTCATCTATCGTTATCTCATCTAACCTAGCCATCAGGTATCGCTTTCGCGGCAGCAAAATGGCTGCATTTAGAATACGAATTCTTATTATATTCTCTAAGTCTTGTTTCCATGAATGATAATTGTATCCTCTTCTTGATGAAAATACAGTGACAACTTCATCTATATTTGGAACACTAGTCAGTTTTTATACGCCCACATTTTCATGTGGACGTATTATGCCATTGCCCCTGTTTGTGCGTCCGTCCACAATTTGTTTGTGGACACTCTACAGGTCACAATTTTTATCTGATTTTGACGAAACTTTAAATATAGGTCTTTCTACCAAAGATCTCGGTTTCTTTCGATATTGGCAAGTATCGGACCATAACTTCATGGATTATGGCCCCCGATTGTACGAAAAATCATGTTTTTAGCTTGTGGACACTCTAAAGGTCACAATTTTGATCCGATTTTTATGAAACTTAAAAGACAGGTTTATAACCCAAAGATCTTGGTTCCTTTCGATATTCGCACATAACGGATCGTAACTTCCTGAATTATGGTCCCTGATTGTACGAAAAATGTCTGTTTTAGCTTGTGGTCCCTCTAGAGGTCACAATTTTTATCCGATTTAAAAAAAAAACGTTTTAATATATCACTGTTACACGCTAATGATGGTTGAGTTCAAATTTCATGAAAATCAGACCAAAACTGCCAGACAAAATGGCTGCCCCTTGTACTCAAGTAGTGTAAAATATGGTATATCAAGGTTGTGGGCCCTCTAGAGGTCACAATTTTCATCCGATTTTGATGAAACTTGGAATGCATGTTTATATGGCAAAGATGCTTTCGATTAGCGCTTGTTGGATCGTAACTTCCTGAATTATGGCCACTGATTGTACGAAAAATCGTGATTTACACTACAGTGCTGGAGTTTGGGACAATAATCGCCAAACACCGCGGAAAAACACTCTATTTCACGGTGGAATCTTGGAGAATCGCTAGCGAAACGGCAGCTAGCCAAATCACCGCAAAATAGGGTGTTTTGCGGTGAATTATGGTGTTTAGCGGTGAAACACGGTGAATCGCTTGAGTGCTGATATCATCCCGATGTAAGCATGTTGACGAAAAATGTAATTTATTTAAGTTGAATACAAGATATGTTAACCGTTGGCGAGGCAGCTACGGTCGTATTTCTAACACACTGTGCATGTATAACGTGGTGCCACAATGTACGTGTATGCAAACAATGAATAACTTACAATTTTTTAAACGTATCATTTCATCTTATTGGCTGCTATCAAATCCAAATTTTAAATTATATTCGATGAGATTTTACACATAACTTCATTACTCGCAGCTTCAGTTAATCTAAATCAACCATTCATAAATCACAGTGCCATACATGTAAATCACTCCGCAATGCGGTTAACCGTACGTCACATGGTCAGAAACGTGCGAAAACATGAGATGTTGGGTTCGACACGGGGACTATATATTCTTACGCTGTGTTACTTGGCGAAAAGTATTTAGCAAATCTTGACTGTCACCGGTATATGATAATAATGTATTATGACGTATTAAAATAATATGGGTGGGAGGGAGTACACTGCGAAAGTCACAAAAGTGACAAATAGAACTTGCAACGGGAGTCAAAAGCGCTTTCAAATCAGACATAAGAAGCTCGTACTTACCGCAAAAATGAAATGAACGCGACACAAGTCTCTCCGATGTCAGAGAATATTAGTAAAGTATAACCGCTATCAAATCCACACAAAAATCCAAGGCACTCATTTTATTTTAGAAAAGAATAACTGTAGGCTCGATAGAAGAGCCTATTCTTCATGAACCCCAAACCAATGGTAACTGTCAACTTGTATGTTGTCATTCTCGTGCAGATTTGTTTGAATAACAGAAATGTCCCGTGTATCAAGATCAAAGAATAAAATCGCACGTAGCCACTCTTTGTTGTTTTTATGCGAATTCAATTAAACTAAAAGGGGCTCCGGCGCAATTTAAGGAATTATTTTTGAGCCAATATTAACCATCGCCAATTTTTTAAATCATGGGATAAAGTCAATTAACAAACAATACGGGTCTACTTTATTACAAAAACATTGGTGAACTTACCATTTTGTCTAAAATCATAACGCTAATCAACAAACAATACTATTGTTCTTTATTACAAAAACATCGGTGAACTATATTGTTTTTGTACATATTGTATTTATTTATTTGTTTGTACTATATGTTATACCTGATGAGTCTTGGCTTAAAGGAATAAAGAATTTGAACTCGAACTAATCGCTGTCGGGATGGCGAGCCAAGCTAGTTGATTATTAGGTAAATAAAACAATATAAACAACCAATGAGTAAAAGTGATCTATTCTAATCATTTAAATAATATACAAGTCAAGTACCGGTATTACCTTAACCGTGGACGGGTTTGCTTGTGGACGGGTTAACGGACACTCAACTTACAAATATTAAATCATCGCCGTATTGGCACTGACTGACCGCACTTCGTGCACGGACTGTTGAATTCTCGTTTAATTTATTGTGTTAATTTCACTATTGTTTAAAATGTAAACAAAATCTTATCTCGAGTACGTAGTACCGTATATCAAGCTAGTCTAGTAAGTAGTAGGCTAGGTTAATCCAGACTAAAACTTCTGGTAGACTCGATTGTCATCTAAGGGATTATATTTTCTGTACGCTGTCTATTTATAGAACAGTAAAACGATTGTAAATATTGCCACGATAAAAATTTAATTATAAGTCCAAGCTATTGTTGATAGAAAATAATAATGATTTACGTGTATCATAGATAATATTAAGTAACAATAGAATGAAAATACTGTTTGTTGTTTTTCGAGTTTTAGGCCATTATTACTTATTTTATGCATATTTTTGGTATGAACTTTTTTGGAGCAGTAAAATCTCATTCGGTCCAGCAATAGTTGGAATAATACCTGCCCAAATGTCCAGTAAAAAAAATATCATTTCGCATGGACTGCAGGGTACATGTATATGCAGTAGGAAATCGACAAGTTGGACGTACAAAAGAATGGAATCATTCAGAAAGTGTACTCAAAATAAGTAAATTATAACGGGGTGAAGACGAGAATTAACACACTCGTGGATATTGTATAAATATATGAGGCGCATGTAATGTACACGTATGTGTGTGTGAAATGGCTTTATTCAATATCGGCTCCCGCCGAAATGAATTGGGTGACATAAAGTAGATGTATATTGTCACAGCGGATATTATTCGACGAGTAAAACAGCGTAAGAATATACATGTAGTCCCAATCTTTTGGCGAGTTTCTGACCACCTAACATACCGTTAAGCGACCTGCGGAGTGATTTACTGTACGTGCTGTATGGATGATTGATTTAGATTAACCAAAGCTGCGAGTAATGAAGTAATGTGTAAAAGCTCATCGTATATAATTTATAGTTTGGATTTGATAGCAGCTCCAAATTGACGGATTACATCTAAGTTATAAACGAAGATAAATTGATATGTTTAAAAAATTGTAAGTTGTTCATAGTTTGCATACATTTTGGCCGGCGTTATGTATGTATAAAGTGCGTT